AAAAAAAAAAAGCGGGGTATATGCATGTGGTTTAATTCCAGATTGCTTTTGAGTTTAAGTGGTATAAAATTTCAGTGTATTTCTGTCTTATGTTAAAGAAATATATTACTAAAACGTCAGTGAGCAGTAATGTCAGCTGTCGAGCACTAGATTTATTTTTGCAGGATATGGAGTGCGATGAACTGAGTCAATATGGCAAGGTGTATGTGATCGGTGAGAGTTGTGCCATTTAACATAGGAAATGCACGGGACTTTCCCTCTCTGCACTCCAGCTCTTGCTCTACCATTAGGAGACGTGGGCTTCTGCTGGTGTGTAAAAAGTACATCCGTCCAGTCGTGCAGAATGGATCTGAAGAAAGCAGCAGCCTATCTTGTATTAGAGAACATTTCTACACGTTTAAACTTTTCACTTCTTAGATGCATTTAAATACCTAATGCAAATGCCATAGCAACTCAAAAGCCTCTCCATGTTCATTGAAATTGAGATGCCCTGCTTCAAACGCAGACTATTATGAAAGGGATTCTCGTTTGTTCCGAAGGTCAGGTATTTTTGTCTTAGATAGCTTTGTAATGATTTTTCTCCAAACGGTTCAAAACTTTTGAAAAACGTTATGAAATTTTCATTAAAAAACCCTTTTCCTATGTTTATTGTATACAGAAATTATGCAATAAAATTTCTTTATAAAAATGTTTTCTTCTCTGACTCCTGAAGTCTCCTCTTATTGTAGCCCGGACACATGGACCATCCATTGGAGTTTGCCAGACCGCCCTGTCGACCTCCTACCGGCTGATACGTCTGTAGTTTGTAGAGAGGGCCTTTTATCTGATGTGGCCTCTGCTCGCAGGGGCTCTCATCACAGGGTCGAGTGCCACTGTCCATACCCCAGGCCCCAGGAAAGGCCTGCAGGGGTCGGAAAGATTGGAGGAAAGGGATACGTTTGCAGAATTACCCAACCTTCACCTCAGCCATCTTTAGCAGCCCGCGTGCTTAAGATACGGACTTTGGGGAGTTCCATCATGGTAACTCCGTGGATAAAAATGTAGGAATGATGCCATGCTGATGCCTTGGCTTCTGTTAAATACTTTGCCGGGAAACTGACACCGTTGTCAAGGATGGGTCTCTGGGGTAGCCCATTAGGAGTTCCCCGCTGCTCACAGATGAAATCACCTTTCAAAGTCATCTGTACAGAAGCGTTTCAGTATAGTCGTATTTGTGGTGGAAATCTTTAAATTTGTTTGGTTTGTTTGGTTGATCTGTTGATTCTGCAGAGGTGGTGAGGTGGTGAAGACCTTGGTTTTCAGCCAATTCCCGGGACCCTAAAATTCACAGGCCGGCAGTTTCGTGGAGCGGACCTGAGAACTGTGCTTCTCCAAAAGTGCTTCCCAGACTGCAGCGCTGGCATGACCCGGGAGCTTGCTACGCAGACAGATATTCAGGCCTTCCCCCAGACTCACCACAACAGCAGTTCTGGAATGGAGCCTCCGCAGTTTGTGTCTTAGCAAAGCCCTCCGTGTGATGAGGGTGCTTGTTCTAAGTTTGACAACCACTGCCCTGGGACTCTTCGTGAGAAAAAGGCAATCAGTATTCATTTCAAAAGCATTTCTTAATGACTCAAACACGCCTCGTATTACCGTCACTGGTTGTCTTTCTATAGAGAGAGGTCAAATGGTTTTCCCAAAGCGTCATGGCGGTCAGCCGCTCTCGTCCTTCGCCGCCCACTTGTTCGTCTTGTTCTGGAGCCCCAGTGTGTCCTCGTCCACAGCCAACACCTGAACCCCAGTTTGCATTTGCGGGTTGAAGCCGGGCTGCCCAGCGCTTCTCTAGAACTGCAGGGTGTCTGTGGCGGGGCTCGGCCCAGCAATTCCAGGAGCTAGAGAACAGACCTCAGTGCACAAATTGACACATGACCTTTCCCATCCCCTCCATTTCCTTGTCCCTGTACCTTTTATCATCACCAACACGGGTTTTATTTAAAACCATCAAGAGATTTTTTTTTTTTTGTCAGAAAACTGCTGTCATTACCCGTAACTTAATCACGAAATGAATTCTAAGAGATGTTAGCATACAAGAAAGGTTGAATTAAAACTTGCCCTTGGGGAGGGGTGCCTGGGTGGCTCAGTCGGTTAAGTGTCCCAACTATGGCTCAGGTCATGATCTCATGGTTCGTGAGTTCCAGCCCCGTGTCGGGCTCTGTGTTGGCAGCTCAGAGCCTGAAGCCTGCTTCAGAGTGTGTGTCTCCCTCGCTCTCTGCCCCTCCCCTGCTCATGCTCGCTCTCTGTCCTCTCTCTCTCTAAATAAACATTAAAAAAAACCCAAAACACTTGGGGACAGATTTCCAAGCGCCTGTACTGACTTCTAACTAAAGTTTATTATACGCTACGTAACCGATAGTGCACCATTTTGAAGTGGTGCGCATGCCACAGCAGAACGTTCTAGCAAGAACTCTTCCCATGCACTTGCTCCCGGAGGCTAGCCTCGTCCTGGACCAACCTGGAGAAGGATCAGCCAGAAAACGACTGCAGGTTCTGGACCAAGAGCCTGCTGTGCCATCACGCAACCATCACAGGTTAGGGCCACAATGACCTGAGATCTGGGAACCAGATCGGATCCTCCGGCCCACGTGAG